ACTGAGTCCAAATCAAGGACCCGAAACACTGTTGGAAAGTTCAAACCATAATTCGAGTTATAAAACGATTTCCAAATATGACGTTCTTATATTCGAATCGAGCGGCTCGACGAGACGAATGCAACGAGCTCAAGATCACCGAATTCCGACATCATTAAAACCTTCAAATCTCAGACGAATGGTGCACGATCAAGGGATTCAATATCGGCCGTCCATTCGACCACTCCCTATTTACCCCTGATCTCACACCTATTTACAAGCAATGCCACTCCATAAAATCTATAAATAGACCCCTCATTTCTCATGAGAGGGGACCCAAGTTAGAAGCAAGAAGAAAAGAAGAAGAGAAAAAGATGAGAATGATTGGAGGGAAGAAACTCCTCCACAACCACCGACGGAATTCGGCCTGACGCCCGAGTGACGTCGAAATTCTGACGGACGCCCAAGTGACGCCAGAATTCTTCCCAACACCCATGAAACGCCAGAATTCAACCTGAAGCTCAAGTTACACTAGAATTCCGCCCGATCTCCGAGTGACGCTTGAACTCTACCTGACATTGTATCTTGATTTTAATCCAGAAGTGATTCATTATAATCTGATCGTCCTAAATTTTAAGGACGAGTTAGTCTCTTGTATTCAAAGCAAACAATAGTGAAACTCTTTCAACTGGGCGTGGCCCCATAGTTTTTCCTCTTTCAGGGTTTTCCACATAAAAATCCTAGTGTTATTATTTCTCATCTGTTTGTGTGCTATATATTTGTACAAAGCTGAGACGAAAATATTCTAATTCTATTACAGCGTATATTCCAGTCCATAACAATAGTTTATGATCGAAGAAATCAATATGTGATGTATGTTGGAGTGTTTCTTATATTTCAATATTTAGATTTATCAAAATGATTCTCTAAAAAATTATAAATAGACTCACATTATTTATATGAAAGAAATATTAACTTGAGATTAGAGAGAGCTAGTAGATCTAAAGAACTCTAGAGATTTACAACATTCAACTCTAATGATTGTCGGCAACAATCACCATCTTCCCTCACATGTCTGCCATGATTATCTTTGCTCGTCCACCACTATCTAACCACGATCGCCTGACCATCATAGTCCATTTACCATCTTCCAATTGTTATCGTTTGATTCCTATCATCTAACTACTGTTACTCATCAACTATCATCTGATCGTTGTCGCTACATGATTATCATCATCTTGACTGACATTACTTTGCCACCAATGTTTGATTGCCAACATCCAAATGACATTATCACCATGCAATACTTCTTCAACATTCTCAACTACTATAGTTGATTGAGCTATTGTTCTAACCATTCTAATCACATCTTCTCCTAAGGGGAAGAGCATTTTTTTATAATATATATTTACCTACTAAATCATTTAATCCACTAAAGAAAATTCAGCTGTTACCGGCGGCCTTGATCGGCGGTTATATGGTCGTCGGTAATAACGGTGGTTTGACCGGCGGTTTGGCTGCCGGTTATTGCCGGCGGCCTAACCGGTGGTTATTTAAGTTTAGGCCGCCGGAACTAGCAGTGGTCATCTAACCGCCGGATGAACCGTCGTACCTTAATATTACTGGCGGTATATCGGCGACTAAAACCGCTGATTGACGCCGCTGGTAATATCTTTCAACCGCCGGTAATATACCGGCGGTTTACCAACGAAGCCCGGCGGTTATCCGATAACATACTGGATGTGTGTACCGCCGGTGTAACCGTCAGCGGTGACCGCCGGGTAACAGCCGGTGTTTTACCGGCGGTGTACCGACGCTTGACGGCGGTTGTTCGACCGCACGCCGGCCGCTGGAACCGTCGGCATGCCGTCGGTAAGGAGACCGCCGGTTAGCCATCGGTAAAATTGTTGGCGGCTCAACGGCCGGAACACCGTTGGTACTATAACCGGCGGTATAAGCCGCCGGAACGCCGTCAACGAAAAAAACCGCTGGAAAAAGACCGCCGGCAATGGTTTCCTACGCCATTTTTACCAGCGGCTTGAGAACCGCCGACAAGCCGCCGGTATTTTTGAAAACCGCCGGAAAAAACCACCAATAATAGCTAAATTTCCTGTAGTTATCTAGGCCAGGTATCATGACTTCTCTCATTTTTTTAGTTTTTTATATAAAAATTTTAGTGTCTCATTTTTTTTACTCGCGTATACAAAATCTTTGTGCAAAGCTACAATGTAAAACTATATCTCCATCATTATAAATTTTCTAGTTCACAACAATTACAATGGCATCAAGATTTATATGAAAGAGTGGTGCCACGTTTTAAGTGAAATAAGAGCTAAATTTTAAATATCATAATAGTACATTTAAAAAAGAAATTAGGTGTTTGAATTGATGTATTTTCATTTATTAATTTATATACTACTAGACATAATTTGGACTTTTGATATGCCTAAGTACTTTTTTTGCTTCTTAAAACAATTTTTTTAGTACAAATTTTTTTAACTAAGTTGTTTTAGAAAGAAATAAGAAAGATGTTCCAAACGAAGCCTTAGTGAGTATATCTATGTTATATTTTGCCCTTCAACTTTGATTTATTGCACGTCAACTTCTTTAACAGTTTATGTACATAGCTAACTATATTTGTATAGTCATAAAATGAAAGTTATTATTCTTTACGAAGTGAATTATGCTTTGATTACCACACAAAAAAAAAATGATGTTCTCTCATATTAAATTTAATTCCACTAGAAACCTATTAAACAAAATCATCTACTCATTAGCTTTAATGGTTGATGTAAGCTCAACTTCTATGATTGATAATGCAAATATCTTCTATATTTGTGACATTCAATTGTTGATAGTGTTTGCCTAAAATATCTTCCATACTTGAAGCTCGTTGAGGTCTCTTAACTTTTGCTAAGAGTGTTGACGTTAAGCCAATATTAATTATTTTGTGATGTTTCTTCTCTCAATATTAGTAGGGTGTCAAATGGGTTATTTATGATGTTAGATTCTTGGGAGGAGACTTGAGCTTCTTGGAAGAGAGAGAGAGAGACATGAAAAGGGAGAGCTGCTTTATTCATTCATCTTGAGCCTTTTATTCATCATCCTCCAATGCCTATATATTGGCTTAAATACTAGTGTAATGTCATGCAAAAACAAACTGAATCAATTCATAACAGTCTTTATCTTGATCCAATTTTATAATTAAAGATCAAAGAACCTCTGATTCATAAGAACCCACACTTGCTGCAATCCGATCGGCTACTTGCACTAACTCCATGATCAAACCCACCAAACAAAATAACCTATGGTTCACAAGAACGCATGTCTTGCACTACCCAGGCCCTACGCGCATCCTGCTTCCATCCCGTGCACTATGTTCCTGTATGTCGGTGCCCAACATGCGACCTGTCCGACCATACTGCACACAAGTCCAACCCTACTTCTATGCGAAAACCTGTGACCATAAGCCCTCACACGAGTGTTCGCCCTGCGCCTGCAGGTGTCTGCCCTACCCGTGCTCACGATCTCTTCATGCATGCGTGAAGTCGCACGTCCAGCTCGAGCGGCCTAGCCCAGCTCTTGATCCAGCGGCGCATTTCACCTACGCTCATTACTCACAGCCCAGCAGCGATCCCAATGCCCATACAACCCGGCTCCGCTCTCCCTTTGCTCTTGTTCTATCCCAAATGAACTGCTAGCTCCTTCGAGTCAAATTGTGTTCCCGTGCAGACTCGAAGTCCACCTGCGATTCTGACTGCCCAGAGCCTACATTCCTTGCACGAACCCTCTACACGTCCACCTTCTATGAACATGACATCGGATCATAATGCAAATGCAAACATTAGTCCATGCTCGAGCCAGCTTCTGTGAGCTATGCTCTAAACACCCTCTCTAGTCTCTCATCCACCTCACGCGAACAATCTTGTTTGAACGTAGTAACCTTCTTGCCGCGGTGTGCGACATCGACAGCCTGACCGCCTCCTCTTTTTGATTACAAGAAACAACTTCCTCCTCCTTTAATCACCTCCACAAGGCCCTATTATGTGGTATCACTTGTTATGATTATTGGGAGGAAGCTTGAGCTTCTTGGAAGAGATAGAGAGGATGCATGAGAGGCATAGAAAGGGAGAGCTGCTTGCCTGCTTTATTCATTCATATTGAGTCTTGTATACATCATCCTACAATGCATATATATAGACTTTAATACAATTGTGATGTCATGCAGGAACAGAATAACATAAAACAAGATCAATTCATAATATTTGTTCATTTAGGCTTCTTTTAGTATGGCTTTCTTACTATTGTACTAGAAAGGCTGTTTTAAGAAGCAGACATATAGTAGTCCCAAACAAAACCTTAATCCCATTTATGTTGACCCTCTAAAACCCATTTTGGGCATAAGTTAGCCCAAATCTATTTTTTAATGGGCTTCAATTGGTTACTCATTAAGGCTCATTTAGGCTAAAAATGTTGTATTAGTAAATATTAATATATAAATGAGCTTAGTGATTGTCAAATCAAAATCGAATTGAGTAAATTGAGGCTTCATTTTAAACATATTTTTCAATATTTTTTAATTGATTTTTTTGTATAAAAATTTCTTGAATTAAAAAAATTTGTACTAGAAAATAGCTTTAGAAAACAGTGAGAAAGTTATCTCAATCGAAGACTTAGACTATTTTTAAATTTAATATTTTAGTAATTATTTTATTAAAAAATACATTTTAGATTATTATCTTAAAATTTTGGCCGAAGAACTAATTGTAATGACTTCATTGGAGTGAATTACAATCAAGAACAACCATTCTTAGCCAAGTAAAAACGGTGACAACACAAGCTCCATCATTCTTTATTGAGTAAATAATATACTAAAAATTTATTCTCGCTCATTAAAAACTCCAACTGATCTCACCAAGTAACTCCATTAATATGACATATAGATAAGAATTAGAATATAATCTACGTAACAGTACATGGCTACATGCATGCATCAACAGTAATTAATTCCATCATACAGATCAGAGGCCAGCCGCTTCCCTCTCCACCACCATCTTAAGAAAGCTTCCTTCTTCCACCACCATCTGCACCGGCAAGAACCCTATCCCCGCCGCCACTGCGAGCAAAACCTCCTTCATCTCCGCCCTAAAATCCTCCAAGTCCACATTTCCATCTCCATCCTTGTCGAACCTCTCGAAAATGCCGCGGTACAGTTCAACAAGCTCTTCGTGGTTCATCTCTGGGCCGTCGATGCCGAAGTGGACTTCGAGCACCCGCATGCTCATCAGCTCCTTGGCCATCTCCATGAAAGACAGCAGGCCGTCGTGGTTGGTGTCAAGGTTCGCGAAGCGACAGTCGATAGATGCGTTGAAGGCCAGCTCGTCGGCGACGAACTGTCGGATGGTTTCGCCGTCCAAGATCTCCACGCTCATTGCAGAACAATGGTGGTTAAGAATTGAGTACGTTGTAGGGATTAGAAGAGAAGAATGTTTGGTTTGGTGGAAGAAGAGTTGCGTAAGGTTGTATTTATAGAAAGGATTGGCCTGCGGTTTTTGTATGTGGTTTGGCGCCAAATATGCATTCAGGTTTCTTTGGCTTAGAAATTGACGCAGATTGTAATTCACATTGAACGCGTGGGACCACATCCAGCCCATTTCCTGATTTAAATTTTATTTGTTTATTTTGAAATAAATATAATATAAATTTTGATTTTTTTTTATTTATCTCAAAGTCAATTTAATATTTTGAAGATTTATTATAACCCCTCTAATAATTTGTGCATTACATTTGACATAAAAAAAAATGTTCCTTCACATAATAGAGGATCACGTAAATTCAGCTGCTTTTTTAAGAAGTCAACTTAAACATTGTTTGCAGAGGCATTGTTCAAAGTGATGTTGAAGAGCTTGGCCTCTATTGTCCATTCAAACACAAGAGATTGTAACTTCTCAAATATTGATATACCATCATGCGGGGGTGGATAAAAGAAAAACTTATGATCTTTTTTATGTAGGTTCCAATCAATATCAATAAAATACACCGTTAAGCAAATAAACCTTTCAATGTTTATAGACATACATACGTTTGCTGTTAGTCAAATTTTGCTAGTGCACTTAGATAACTGTGATCATATATGAGTTTTTTTTTTTTAATAATTTCGTACAATCATTCCATGCAGTATTCCTAGAAAATAGTTGTAAGTCTCAACGAAGATACGACAAAAGTACTAAAACACCAACCCATTCAACACATTAGAAGGATAAAATCATGCATAATGATATATAATATAAATAAATAGTGAAAATCTGCTAAATCAAACTTACCATCAGCCACAAAAATAGATGAGTTAGAGTTGATTTGTAGTATAAGCTGGCCCATGTCCTGCAAATCTCTTCTCTTGCAATTTTGCAAGTGACGCCATAAATTATCAATGTCATTTTTGCTATCACGTAGATATTGTGCACCACATTTTTTACATCTACACATTTGTTTATCATCTTTAATATTAGACGTACAACATCTCAAAAAGACCTCAAATTGATGAAGTCATCATTCTACGCTTCTTAAGAATTTCTAAACCATCATTACATGCATCATTAGATGGCTCTATCAAATTATCACCACTATGCACTTGCTCAATCTCATCAACAAAATTATCAGGAATGATGTTTGAATCCTCCATCTAGCCAGCCAAAATATGATACATGCAGTAAATAAATTTGACAAATAATTTTAAACGGTTTGACCCTAACCCAAAAAATTCAGATCGTGTTTGTATCGGTTTGCATATTGTGTTAATTTTTGACACCCCTAACGAGCAATAGTGATCATCTTAATTGTTTTCTTGATGTAAGTAGAGACCAATTTACAAATAAGGTATGCGTCGGACATTTAATTTCGAAGACCATCTTTGACAAATGACAAGCATCGGTCAATGATTCTTTAGTCATTATTATTTCTAATTTTTAAGCTATATCCCCCTTTTTTAACGTGACTTAACAAATACATTAAGATTTCAGAAAGAACTTAAAAATAACTTGCCGACAAAGAAACGTTGTCGAATGGGTAAGTTAGTCAAAATCAGTGGATTTCCTTATTTTGACGTGTTGAATTACTTTATTTTTTTTATTTTTTATTTTTTTGGCGAGGAAGCATTATTTTTAGGTCAGTAAAAATTTCGGTCGACCTAGCATGCAACCCACATTAATTTACACGAATCAATACTTAAAACTTTCACTGCTTGCTAAAAAATTTGAACCAGCATTTTTATATGTCCTTTGAAATTCCGTCAAATAATATATATAATAATACGTTGGGAAATGCTTCTTACGTACACCCACCCAAACCAATTACAAGTTTAGTTCAGATTTCTGTCAAAAAAATCATTTTAATGATATCAATAGAGGCAAAGTACATAATCATCCCTAATAAATCTGCCATTCAAAATGATAACAGTAAGGTTAGAAAAATTACAATTCCAAATATATTCAATAATAATAATATATTATAATTATTATTATAATAAATTATTACTAAAATATAAATTCTAATACATTTCTAAAAATAAATAAGTTTAATAACTCTAGTTTAATTTATATTATTTGGCTGAACAAAGAATTTGTACAAAATACAAATATTCATTAATTTAACCCATATATGATTTAATTGAGATGAATATACTATAAATTTTAAATATATTTTTTTTATTATATTTATTTTAAAATTATGGTAAGTATTGCACATATGAGTATGCTTAAGTGGATGAGTGATTTTACACTAGAAATAAAATAATAAAGGAGTATATATGTGAAAAGTTTGGACTAGCTTCAATGACAGATAAGATTTGAGAGAGCATCCTTAAATGATTTGGTCACGTAAAACACAACCTTCCAATGGAGAAATTATTATGTGCAGAATCCAAACGGAAAGAATAGTCCGGTCTGTAAGTGTACACATTGTACATAAATAGTGCGTGATACATATTATGTATAAATTTGTACACAATGCGTATATATACCCACATATTCGGATAGTTCTTTCCATCCGGACTCCGCACGGAACACTTTCTCCTTCCAATGACCTAATGGGAGGGTAGATGCATTAAATCCGACCTATGTTAATAAAGTGAGGGGGTAACCTAAAAAGACTTAATTAGAAAGTAGTACAAGTGACTTTTTTTATTAGATTTAAATGAGAATTTTATTCTTAATGGGGCAAAATGATCAAGGAAAAAAATCATATATTCGATCTCATATAATAATGTGATAAAGATTTATTATTGTTGCTATTATATTATATTTATTTTAAAATTTATTCTAATTTAAACTTCAATAAAAAAAATATATTGAGTGGGATTCTCTCTATAAATTATAATGGTAGTTTAAAAGTGCTTAATTATGTTACACTATGGGCCGCTGGCTGGGTAGGACAATTGGTTGGGAATTTTGGCTCTTCTTCTGGTTTTTGACTTATGGTCGCAAACATGGGGTGGAGTTGCTCCTTTGTACCTTTCGTCGTACCTTCCCATAGAGATCTAGAACGGGGTTGCAGACCATTCAGCTGGGCTGCAGTCAAATTTGTAATAGGTGTAACGTGTTTGGAACTAGTAAGGCTTTTTTTTTTTTTTTTTTAAAGGAAAATATCGCTCACAGTCGCGGGGAAGAAGGAGGCGGCGGAAACCCTAGCAGAGCAAAAAAGACCATCGCGCGACTGAAAGCAAAAAAATGATTTTTTTGATTGAATAATTTTTAATAGTAAGGCTATGTTGAAATAGGATTTTAATTTTAGTGTTTATAAGAAAAAGTATTAATAGATGATAAATAAATGAAATGAAATGTAAAAGGGAAAGACACCCTAAATATTTTAAGATTGTGTGAACATCTCATATTGATAGCCTAGGTCACTGAAAATTGTCTTCATATGGCACAAATCTCGAGATATATCTCAGTTAAACTTTTTAAAAATTAAAATTGGGATCATTCATGCTCTAATTTCAACAAACTTATAGTCAAATTATAAATCTCAAGGAGAAGAATCCAACGACACCCAAATTAAAAGGATTCGAGCCCAAATGGGTCAAAACCAAGGGACCGAAGCGTATTTGGAAGGTTCAAAGCATTACTTAGATGATCAAATTATCTCCATATATGACATGCTTATAGTCGAATGGAGCGGCTCAACGAGACAAATCAAATGAGCTAAAGACTGCTTAATTCTAACATCATTAAGGCTCTTAAATGCTTGAAAAATGCTTCATAGTCGACATAATCAGTACGAGACATCCGATGGATCACTTTGAACTTGCCCTTGAAAAATGCTTGTATTTTTCTGCTCTCTCTCTTCAACTATCTATTTGTGCACTGAATATCATTGTTAGAATAAAAAATTTACTCACTCTATCCCTATAAATATACTAGCCCACAACACATTAATTTGTTAATGAGTTGAAATCAATATTTTTAAAAGAGGGACTATTATTAGAACTTGTGCTGGTTGAAATAAATTTCTTAACGTGAGTCAATGAATATTATTAAAGATGTTTGTTTATATAAATTAAAAAAAGATATTAATATAATGTAATTAAATTGAAGCATGAGAGATGCATGTGTTGGTGGTACGAGGAGTTTTTAAATGTTAAAGCTGCTATCATACGACGAGTGTTAGAAAGCAATTAGTGGCGTATGTTGGAAATTAGGGAACCGAGGACGATAAACTTGATTTTTCGTCTTGATCATATGGGAGATTGGATGATTAGGAAGATGATCATTAAATATTGATAGTCGACGGCCATACATGTGGATTATTGGCAAGGATGGGGTGACAATAGACATTCGAATGAAAATATAAAAGGGAGAGATTGAGAAGAAGAACATTGGTTTCAAATAAACATCAATATTTAGCAGACATCAATTGATGATCGATGAAGTGAATCGAAAGTCAAAACGATGGTTGGTGTTTAGCTTGATAGTTGTCTTGATATAAAAAAATATATGACGATTAAGAAATCAAATGCCAATTGTCGATGGATGTTGATCTTTAATAAGTATTGAGTCATATTGATGTGAAAAGTTTGAATACAAGCATAATAAGAAATCTTTCAAAATATCATCTAAAATGTGTGGTTATAATCAAAACAAAACTCTCATTGAGATAATTATGATGAGTTTATTATGATACTAAAATGTTTAAAAAGCATGAAATATTAGGACCTATTCAAGCAGTTCAATGGAGCATACTTGTTTTTAATAAGACAACAGCATTTCTCTTCTTAAAAATCTATAAATTGATCATATTTTCTACATTTCATGAGAATATTTTTAACGGAGAGCTCTACTCATATCGATCTCCCTGTGTGGAATAGCCATCACTTGATGCCAAAAATTGACTAATACCAATGCTTGCTATCTTAAGAAGCCATTACGCAACAATAGAT